TGTCTCCCCGTTTGGTTCAGCCTGCGGCTCTGGTGATTGCTCCCACCTGCCTCTCGTTTCCCAATCACCCAAGCTCCCAGCCCTCCTGTATTTAAACCCCTCCAGTTCTGTGTCTCTTGTTGCCTCATTGTTCCCATGTCCTGCACGTATTTATTATTAAAAGGCTTTACTTTTCCCAGGTTGTCTGCCTGCCTAATTCCTCCCCAGCGTTTGGATCCTAAACTCCGCTCCACTCACCAGCGCGTCGCGACAGAATGAGGCAACCTCCTAAAGGATCCAGCGGTGAGATTCTCCCCTGGGAGTGCCTGCTCCAGTTCCTCTCCTCGGACCACCGGCCGGCTTCTCCTCCTCCGGCGTCACCTCGCCACCGCCATCACCGGACTTCAGCCTCGGCGATCCTCTCCACCCTCCCGGAGCCAGATGAGAGGTTGGACCGGGAGACGCTGCCAGACCGCTCCTGCTACGTGGGCACCAGACTGGCTGTGTGCTCCCCCGGAGTTTGCCTACGGGGGAAGGCATGGGGAAGGATACCGGGCTCCACCGCAACCCTGTGTCCCAGGACGAAGCCGCGAGCTCGCTGCTGCCCCGGCTCGGCGCACCAGCTTGGACCCGCCCCCTGTCAGACCAGCAGTCCCGCCTCCGGTCCAACCAGCACCTCCGTCATCTGCAGGCGGAGGAGCCACGCCTACGGCCCAGCTGACGGAGCTTGCCGGTCTCCAGGCGAAGCTTGACCGGATCCGTCAGCTCGTCAGCCTCCGGGAGTTCCAGCTGGACACCCTACCCTCCCTGTATCTCCAGGAGAGGGTTTCTGTCCAGCCAGCGGCCCCGCCTCCGGTCCAGTCAGCAGCTTTCTCGTCTCCAGGCCAAAGGACCGAGCTCGCAGCCCATTCAACAGAGCTCGCTGGTCTCTGAGTTGAGCTGGTACGACTCCGTCAGATCCTCAGTCTCCAGGAGTTCCAGCTGGGTAATGTATCCACCCTGCTTTTCCAGTTGCCGGCTCCACCAGGTCCCGTGCCACCTGTCCAGTCAGCGCCAGGTCCTGCGCCACCAGTCCAGTCAGCGCCAGTTCCAGATGTGGTCCCAGAGGTCGCGCCGCATCCTGTTCCAGCGGTGGTCCCGGAGGTCGTACCGCATCCAGTTCCAGCGGTGGTCCCGGAGGTCGCACCGCATCTGGTCCAGCCTGTCCAAGTGGTCCCGTCTGCAGCAGCTCCTCCTCCACTCCGGAAGCCGGCGGTCCAGAAGCCGGCGGTCCAGAGACCGGAGGTCCAGAGACCGGAGGTCCAGAGACCGGCGGTCCAGAAGCCGACAGACCAGAAGTCGACGCCCCCGGACCAGAAGTCGACGGTCCAGAGGTCGATGGACCAGAAGTCGACGGACCAGAAGTCGACGCCCCCGGACCAGAAGTCAACGGTCCAGAAGTCGACGGTCCAGAAGCCGACGGACCAGAAGTCGACACCCCCGGACCAGTAGTCGACGCCTCCGGACCAGGAATCGACGCCCCCGGGCCAGAAGTCGACACCCATTCCAGTTCTGAAGTCGACGCCTCTTCCAGTCCTGTGGTCAATGCCTCCTCCAGTCCTGTGGTCGACGCTCTCTCCAGTCCAGAGGTTGACGCTCTCTCCAGTCCAGAGGTCGACGCTCTCTCCAGTCCAGAGGTCAACGCTCTCTCCAGTCCAGAGGTCGGTACTCTCTCCAGTCCAGAGGTCTGCGCTCTCTCCAGTCCAGAGGTCGACGCTCTCTCCATTCCAGAGGTCGACGCTCTCTCCAGCCCAGAGGTCGACGCTCTCTCCAGTCCAGAGGTAGACCCTCTTTCCAGTCCAGAGGTCGACGCTCCTTCGTGTCCAGAGGTCGACACTCTTTCCAGTCCAGAGGTCGACGCTCCCTCGTGTCCAGAGGTCGATGCTCCCTCGTGTCCAGAGGTCGACGCTCCTTCGTGTCCAGAGGTCGACGCTCCTTCGTGTCTAGAGGTGACGCTCCCTCGTGTCCAGAGGTCGACGCTCCCTTGTGTCCAGAGGTCGACGTCCCCTCTAGTCCAGTGGTCGACGCAGTCTCCAATCCCGTGGTCGATGCCGTCTCCAGTCCAGTGGTCGACGCCGTCTCCAGTCCCGTGGTCGATGCCGTGTCCAGTCCCGTGGTCGACGGCGTCTCCAGTCCAGTGGTCGACGCCGTCTCCAGTCCATTGGTCAACGCCGTCTCCAGTCCATTGGTCGACGCCGTCTCCAGTCCATTGGTCGACGCCGTCTCCAGTCCATTGGTCGACGCCGTCTTCAGTCCATTGGTCGACGCCGTCCCCTCCAGTCCATTGGTCGACGCTGTCTCCTCCAGTCCATTGGTCGACCCCGTCTCCAGTCTCAAGCCTCCCAGTCACAAGTGTTCCAGTCTCCCAAGTCTCAAGTGTTCCAGTCACCCAGGTCTCAAGTGTTCTCACAAGTGTTCCAGTCTCCCAAGTCTCAAGTGTTCCAGTCACGAGTGTTCCAGTCTCACAAGTCTCAAGTGTTCCAGTCTCACAAGTCTCAAGCGTTCCAGTCTCACAAGTCTCAAGTGTTCCAGTCTCACAGGTCTCAAGTGTTCCAGTCTCCCAAGTCTCAAGTCTCCCCACAAGGGTTCCAGTCTCCCAAGTCTCAAGTCTCCTAGTCACGAGTGTTCCAGTCTCCCAAGTCTCAAGTGTTCCAGTCACACTCCCCATCTCCAGAGACCCTTCCTCGTCCTCCTCCTCCAAGACGCTCTAGACTTCTCTGGTCCCGCCTCCTGGTCCCCCGTCGCCGGCCCCCTGGACTTCTCTGGTCCCGCCTCCTGGTCCCCCGTCGCCAGCCCTCTAGACTCCTCTGGTCCCGCCTCCTCCTCTGCCGCAGACACGGGCCCCCAAGAGCCCGTCGTCATCTCCTCCTCTGCCGCAGACATAGGCCCCCAAGAGCCCGTCGTCGCCTCCTCCTCTGCCGCAGACGCAGGCCCCCCCATGAGCCCGTTGTCGCCCCCGGACTCTACTGGTCCCCGCCTCCTTTCCATTGGTCCCTCGGTCCCTCTCGGCCCTCCCTCCGGGTCCCCCACCTCCCGCCCTGCTCTGTGTTCCTGTGGGCGTCTGGAGTCCACCCTTTTGGGGGGGGTACTGTCACGCCCTGTCCTATTTCCCCGTTTGGTTCAGCCTGCGTCTCTGTTGATTGCTCCCACCTGCCTCTCGTTTCCCAATCACCCAAGCTCCCAGCCCTCATGTATTTAAACCCCTCCAGTTCTGTGTCTCTTGTTGCCTCATTGCCCCCATGTCCTGCGCGTATTTATTATTAAAATACTTTACCTGTCCCAGGTTGTCTGCCTGCCTGATTCCTCCCCAGCATTTGGATCCTTACCTCCGCTCCACTCACCAGCGCGTCGCGACATAAGTAATACATTTAAAAGGAAATAATTAAAAAAAAAACAAGCTAATGTCTCAGAAGGAAGGAATGTTACAGTAAATCTTGGCTTGGGTGGTGTCCAGCTTCCTCCTCATTTAGCCGCGGTGTACGGTATTACTGGGACTAATTCACAAATAATGATGTTAGCCTCAAGTGGAATTACCAAACCACTACTTTGGGCTCAGCTGCTCCCGGCCTACATCAAACTGAGACTTTTGTGAGGTGTATAAATTAAAACCTTCACTAACACACATAACGACAGACTAACCTTCATGTGGACAAGTGACTTTAGCAAATGCCAAGCACCAAAAGGCAAAAATCCAGAAAAATACACTAGCAAAGTCTATACGAACATTACATTTGCCAAGACCAACTTCTGCAACAGTCACAGACACAAAAACTGTGTGTAGTTTATCTTGCACACAGCATTGTAACCTGACACAACAAAAACTCATTAATTCAGATGCTTCTGAGACTCATTGGAGGTCAGTAATGCATTCAGTCACACGCCACTTTTATAAGAAACTTGCAAAACTTGTTTGCGAAGTCACGTGTTTGGAGACAATAGTTCTAAAGAACAGTCAGTCCTTACAAATGTGATCTAAAAACACACACGCACACACCCAGATCCAGACAAACTTCATTACTTTTTTGGTGATCATTGAGAACTTGATCTTCTGCTTTTCTGCCACTCAGTAACACAACCGCTGTGGCCCTTTACAGGAGTGACAGCGTCTGTCAGCACTGAACACGATCATCTTGACAAGTGAGTTTCGGTTACTAAATGACAGCTGGAGGCTTGTGATGAGAGATTTGGTAAAACACGCATCTTGGATTGATGCAACACACAAAGAATTAGTAGAAAATCTAGTTCTAAGCAGCTCTAAAGACAAATGCCAAACCAATCATGTCACTGAAGAATTAATTATGATGGATTGAAGTTCATGATTGCCTTTAACCCTCCCACTGCCCTAATGGGTGTCCCCGTGAGGAAAACTGACCATTGAGCAGGACTGATGGCTTATCCCTTGAGGTCCACGTGACAGGGGTGAGGTGGTGCTCACTCCTCACCCCTGCCACATGGACCCAAGGGGTAAACCATCAACCCTGCTCAATGGTCAACTTTCCTTGCGGGGTCGCACCCATTAGGGCAGTGGGAGGGTTAAGAAGTTTTCTAGTTCATTTTCTGATGGGACTATGGGGCATCTGTAAAAGAAATGGAGGAAGAAACACTTAACAAAAGTTGTGTCATTATTCATGTAAACCCATGGCTAACACTTGCAAAGCATGACCAAGTTAGGAAGAGCCCTGTGTTGGTAGAGAGGACGGACTGAGAAAATGTCCAGATTGTAAAATGTGAAGAATCACAGGCTCAGACTGTGTCTTTAGCTGGACAACAGTACAGGAAAACTGGTTTTTGCTCAGTAAGTTGTGTAATTGTTGTGTATTTTAGTACTGCTTTAGTACTACTTTAGTAATCATTAAATGCTAAAAAAAAAAATCATTTTTAAAAGCTTTATTCAAATATCTGACAGTGACATCTATGTAAAAAAGTAACTAGCTCAAAGTTCATGTCATTTCAGAGACAAAAAAAAAAAAAAAAAAGGAAAAAACTAAGCATTTTTTGGTCAAACTTTCTTTATTTAAATGTCAAAGAAAACAGGTTCGTATAAATTGTTAAAAAAACATTTCTTATAATATTCATTTTTAATATGTGCAAAATGAAGTAACAAGTATTAGGTGTGCAGCATTCTTCATAAATCTCACATTTGTCCCCAAACCTTCATAAAATATTCAACAAATCAGCCAGGGAAAGCTTCATATTATAAGAAAATCAACGGAAAAAAAAGCATCTTTGGCAATATTATTGATGGTAAAAGACACTTTTTCACTTGAAAACTTGTAAATAAGCCACAAAGTACACATATTTCAAAAATTTAGCTTTCAACTGTGGTAAATAGTGACAAAATAGACCTGCAGATTTAAACAAGTCATGAGCCTAAAAGGTAACCAGACCTTTAAACCTAAAGTAAATAATCTGTGGTTGTTTTGTAACTTTACCAATAGTAATGAACACTTTTCTTTTTGGCTCAATTTAAAATTTAGCCTAGTTTTATCCTCACAGAACAGAAATCCAGCAGTTCTGTAGTGAAATGTTCAATTAGCTTTAGTGATCTTAAACAGCTGTGCAATCTGTGAAAAAGCTGAAGCACAAAGAATGAGGATGACCAGTTTGGGATGATGGTGTCTAGAATATTCCATGTTGAGTACCAGAGCCTGAACTTTTACATCCAGCAACTGCTGGGACGTTCCAGTGAGGAGGTCAGGTTATTTACTGGGTGGTGAACGCCAGGGTTGTCACGATGAGCAGCAGAGCTGTGGGTGAGGAAAGGAGACCAGAATGAACCCAAAATAAAAACATTTGTTTCTTGTAGAATCAGAAAAGAATAAATGAATGAAACTACAATCTGTCTGATGCTTACTTGGCATCAATAGTGACTGCTGGTGTACACCTGGAAAAGCACCACTAGTAGAGTTGGTGCCATTAACCAGATTGGAGATGGTGGCGTTGGGATCTGACAGGTTTACAACAGGAGTCTGAATCCTGAAGTTTGGTGAGCCAAATGCTCCAGTAGCTGAAAAACACATAAGAGACCAAGCTATCACTGATCTGGAGCACCAAAGGATTTCTCTTGGTAAGAATGCTATTGTGGATCTCAGCTCAATGCTGTGAGTGCTTTGGGTGGTGCTTACTAGGATTGTAACTTCCAGATGAAACAGACAGTGAGTAACCTGCTGCTCGTGTGGTGGTGTTTGGCAGTGTAGCTGAAAATGTACACTGGATTTTGCCTGAACTGACTTTACCCTTCACGTTGCTTGCATCCAGCTGGTCGAGAGAACAGATAATAATAATTATTTGCAGTGAAATTAAATTCCAGTGATTGTCCCACACTCCATCATGTTTGCTCATGAAGGGAACTAAATGACTGTTCCCCACCACTGTTCTCATGAACTTACCGATGTCAAATTCACCATGGAGTTGGTGAGGGTGCCAGTGAAGAACCTCACAACACTGTTGCTATTCGCACAAATGTAGGCTTGATGGTTGTCAGCCTGTAGTAACAGCGAGCAACAAGACAGTAATTAAATAGAATCCAGTAGTGGATCAGATTTAGATTTAGTGTTATAGTCATTCAGCTCTTGCAGCTTTAAAGGTTTAGAAATAACAAAAGAAGGACATGACCTACCTGACTAGAGGAAGTTGACAGACCTGCAGCAATGTACCCATCTGACTGTCCTGAAAGCTCAAAGTCGTACAACTGACCACTCTGCTGCTTAGCAGAAATATAATAACATTGGCTTCCTGTAGACGGGTCACAAGTCTTGGGTTCGGCGACACAAAGCTTTTTGGAACCACAATCTGTCGTTGTAATAGTGGCCTGCAAAGCCAACAAACAACATTTATGTCTTGGATTTTAAACATATGAAAAAAAAAGTGACTTTGACTAATCTTTTTATTTTCTCCCTATAAAGTGTGTGAGATTTATTTGTTTTTTCGGCTGTCTCACCGTAAGAGCTGCGACTGGAATTGTAGATGTAATCGCTGTTCCTGTAGTTGTAATGTTACTAGCTCCTGTGGTTCCGTTGGTGGCTCCTGGGGCTCCTGTGGTTCCGTTGGTGGCTCCTGGGGCTCCTGTGGTTCCGTTGGCTCCCCCTGGGGCTCCTGTGGTTCCGTTGGCTCCCCCTGGGGCTCCTGTGGTTCCGTTGGCTCCCCCTGGGGCTCCTGTGGTTCTGTTGGCTCCCCCTGGGGCTCCTGTGGTTCCGTTGGCTCCCCCTGGGGCTCCTGTGGTTCTGTTGGCTCCCCCTGGGGTTCCTGTGGTTCCGTTGGCTCCCCCTGGGGCTCCTGTGTTTGTGCTGGCTCCTACTGGGGCTCCTGTGGTTCCGTTGGCTCCCCCTGGGGCTCCTGTGTTTGCGCTGGCTCCTACTGGTGTGCTTGTTGCAGGTATGCCGGATGCATTGGCATTTACTGCACTTACTGATGGAACTGCAGTAACTGTTGAATTAGCTGTAGAATTGTTCTGAGCGTAGGTACCCATAAATCTCCAAGACAGAGTCACCAACAGCACACTGAGGATCAGTCTGTAATCCATCCCTACATAAGAGAGAGATAGTATTTTGTAAAGAAATATGATAGCAAAGATCTGCTGTACTTAGTTTTAAGGATAATTAGATCTCAGCCAGAATATTGTACAATGTAGTAATCCTAAACTTTACATATATGGTAACAGCATTGAATAACATTAGTAAATGTTTATTCATTTACAGAAGTACTATGTTCAGTAGTGATAGTAAAGTTGTAGTTTTGTACAGTGCCATTATGTAGTTGGCAAAAGCTTTTATGGTTAATTCATGAAGAAAAAAAAAACATCAAAATAGTTTTTAACAAAACATTTAATTAAATATTAAAAAACTAACTGTGAATTTTTTTAATCTTTATTACTTAAACATTCTGAAGAAATTATATAAATTACATATTAATTAATCTTGACAATCAGTACTGAATGAAACAAAATGAAGTACTGAATAAAAATGTGAACAATAATTTAATTTAAAACATGTTTACCTGTCAGTTCCTTTGACTTGAAATGAAAATAATAGATTAAATTAATCAGAAGACAATAAGATTTCCTTAGTATGAAGATCCTGAGTAGCTTTTACTTTCAGGTATGACTCGTAGGTTCTCTGTCCCTGATGTGTCCAAGAGGCTTGCAGGTGAAGATCTGACACCTGACCAGCACTTGTCACTATTTAAAGTGGAAGAAGAGGAGTGACGTGATACATCTGACACATGCCCTCCTTCTTTTGCATCAATATGTTTTCACAGGGTGTTGACACATGATGGGTGTGGAGCCACGGAAACCATGATACGTCAAAGCAGCCATTCTGTTGGAAATTCTTGAACCTGATTGCATTCTTCCCCTGAAGTCTCACAAATCAAGTGACCCAAAGGTATGAACTAAACAAACTAACCAAAAAACCCCCCAAAACACAAAGACTTACCTTGTGCACTCCTAGTATAATTCATCTGCTGTTGACTGGACCAAGGTTATAATCAGGACTACTCATCTAACTAATCTTATAATTAGATACAATACATTTTATTGTTGACACATTTGATTCTATTCATGGTTTATACAAATTCCATTTAGTACAAAAGTCATGGAGAGTAAACATTCATTCATCCATCTTGGGGAATCAGGAGGCAGACGCTATTTCAATGATTCTACTATGCAAGCAGTCCCAATGTTCAAGGCTACATGGACATGACAAGGGAACTATGGAAACTTCCAAATCAGTCTGACCCAGTCTTCCTAAATTAAAACAAGAAGTCTGCCCTAAAGAGTTTGCCCTAAACATTAAAACGTTTCTATCATGAAGGACCATTAGGTTTACACCTTGGTAAGTGCACAGGTCATATGACCAGCCCATGTCAGCAATAACAGGAGCCGTTTGCAGATGCACAGATATTTTCTGGATACAAAGTCATCAATGGGGTCATCTTTATGATACTTCAGAGCTGAACTGAGCTTATAATAGCCAGACCACTCAAGTGTTCTTGTGCCATTGATGAGCCTCAGTTTGAGAAGCCCCACTCAGCAGAAGCAGCTGTACCAGAGAGAGCTAGGGTTCAGCCCTGTTATGACCAGAAACCCATTCAAGCAGATTAAGATTTGTTTTGGTCTAAATGGGAAATTACACTATGAAGTAATGTAAATACTAGAACTTATGATATGATTACAATATAATAGGAAAACACCCCATGCCCATCCATCCATTTTCATCCGCTTATCCGGAGTCGGGTCGCAGGGGCAGTAGCCTAAGACGAGAGGCCCAGACTTCCCTCTCCCCAGCCACTTGGGCAAGCTCCTCTGGGGGAATTCCAAGGCGTTCCCTGGCCAGGTGAGAGACATAGTCCCTCCACCGTGTCCTGGGTCTACCTTTAGGTCTCCTCCCAGTTGACGTGCCCAGAAAACCTCACCAGGGAGGCATCCAGGAGGCATCCTAACTAGATGCCTGAGCCACCTCAACTGGCTCCTCTAGATGTGGAGGAGCAGCGGGTCTACTCCGAGCCCCTCCCGAATGACCGAGCTTCTCACGTTATCTCTAAGGGAGAGCCCAGCCACTCTTCGGAGAAAACTCATTTCGGCCACTTGTGTCCGCGATCTCGTTCTTTTGGTCACTACCCAAAGCTCATGACCATAGGTGAGGGTAGGAACGTAGATCGACCGGTAAATCGAGAGCTTCGCCTTCTGACTCAGCTCTCTCTTCACCACAACAGACCGGTACAACGCCCGCATCACTGCAGAGGCAGCACCAATACGCCTATTGATCTCACGCTCTAGTTTTCCCTCACTCATTAACAAGACCCCAAGATACTTAAACTCCTCCACTTGGGACAGGACCTCATCCCTGACCCAGAGAAGGCATTCTACCCTTTTCCGAATCAAGACCATGGTCTCGGATTTAGAGGAGCTGATTCTCATCCCAGCTGCTTCACACTCGGCTACAAACCGCTCCAGCGAAAGCTGAAGATCGCATTCTGATGAAGTCAACAGGACCACATCATCTGCAAAATGCAGAGACCTGATCCTCAGGCCACCAAAACGGAGGCCCTCCACACCTTGGCTGTGCCTAGAAATCCTGTTCATAAAGGTTAAGAACAGAATCGGTGACAAAGGGCAGCCTTGGCGGAGTCCAACTCACTGGGAATGAGCCCGACTTACTGCCGGCAATGTGGACCAAGCTCTGACACCGGTCATACAGGGCCCTAACAGCCCATATCAGAGGGCCTGGTACCCCATACTCCAAGAGTACCCCCCACAGGGCCCCCCGAGGAATTCGGTCAAACGCCTTCTCCAAATCCCCAAAACACATATAGATTGGTTGGGCAAATTCCCACGCACCCTCCAGGATCCCCCTAAGGGTATAGAACATGTCCAGTGTTCACGGCCAGGACGAAAACCACATTTCTCCTCCTGAATCTGAGGTTCAACAATCCGACGGACCCTCCTCTCCAGATCCCCTGAATAGACCTTACCAGGAGGCTCAGGAGTGTGATCCCCCTGTAGTTGGAACACCTCATGCTCTCTTCTTAAATTGACCAGAAGCCTGGAGAGGCCAAAATTCCTCAAACGTTTTTTTTCCCTACTGGCTGATTTGATTTAAATCTGAGATTCCAGTTATGTTTGCTTTCCTAACCTTAATACCTTCATGCTGACAACCCACATGAACAAAATCCTTCATCAGAGTTGTGGTGCCACATCCATTGCTGTTTATCTGAGGGCAGTAGAGGAAGATGTTAAATGGCAGCAGAAGTGACATCACCGAGCTCTGACGAAGGTGACCGGAAGTAGTTGAAACTGTCAGCAAAATGGCTCCCTGGAGGGCTAAGCCCAACCAGCCATTCCTCCCCATCCCCGCATATTTTTCTCCTCCTGCTCCCTTACATCATCACACAAACATGCACATAGGACCTTGGGGGGTGGGCAAGTCAGGGAGTGCGGACAGTGCATGAGTGGGTGTCCGGCATGCATTTTTGTAAGTCTTTGGTTGTATGTGCATGTGTGAGTATGAGGGAGGTGTGTGTGACAGTATTTGTGTATGACTGTATATGTCAGGTGGGGCCTTTGACTCCTCCCCTCTCCTGGGACTTCTTTTGATGATATAGATCTTCGTCTCCCCTACCCCTGCCACACCTGGTGTGGGGTGTGGTGCCTTGGTCTGCCTGAGTGTTCATGAGTATGGACCCCATTTCTGCATTCCTGTGGCAACCTGCCCCCCAATTTTATTTACACCTTTTACACTTCCACTGACAACATTCCACGCAAACACACAGTGCCTTGGGAATGAGCACATTCAACGGCACTTGGCAGGGGGATTTCTCAGCCTCCTCCCGAGTGCCGGTGCCCACTTCCAATTTTAAACTGCACTTAGACACCGAGGGCTGTGGGTGTAAGTGGGAAGGTGCGGTGGCATCAGCTAGCATAGGCCAGACAATGCCCGCACTGCCCGCTCACCACAGCCATAGAATACACCTCATCAACACACAACACTATAATGGATCAGGCGGAGGGAGACCAGGGGTCTTAGCACACCTCTGGTGTTGCTTGGCTTCCAGGGGCTGGAGGCTAGGAGGGAGATCTGGCCGTCCGGTTGGGGTCTGGGGTGGTGGGTTGCTGTGCTCAGCATTGGGCGGGGGAGCCTGCTCATCAGCACCCCAGCTGAAAGGGTCAAACTCTGGTAACTGGTAATGGTTGTACCCCATGTGCAGCAGTACCGGGACCAGAGTGAATAGGGTGTGTATGGGGAGCATGAGTGGGTGTCCGGCATGCATTTTTGTAAGTCTTTGGTTGTATGTGCATGTGTGAGCATGAGGGAGGGAGTGTGTGACTGTGTTTGTGTATGACTGTATATGTCAGGTGGGGCCTTTGACTCCTCCCCTCTCCTGGGACTTCTTTTGATGATATAGATCTTCGTCTCCCCTACCCCTGCCACACCTGGTATGGGGTGTGGTGCCTTGGTCTGCCTGAGTGTTTGTGGCTCCCGGGTCTGGGGGTTTAAGATTTTGGCATCTGCCTGATAGATCCCGGTGGCTGCCTGGTGGGGTATGAGTCCCTGGGCTCTGCTGGATCCCCGGCGGGGGTGGTCGCCCCTGGGTTCCCGGTCGCTGGGTCCCGGGCTCGGCCGGCTAGGGGGTGGGAGGCTGCGGGCGGGCCTGTGGGTTTGCTGCTGATATCTCCCGGGACTCTGCCGGCTGCTGGTTGTGACCCCCGGGGGGATCCTCTGTGCCTCTCGAGGGGGCGGGGGCCTTTCTGGTTGCAGTCTCCTTGGGGTTCCTGTGTTCTGGGGCAGCGCCTGGATCTCTGGGACTTGGAGCTCCCCTCGTCTCCTACACATCTTTGGGGGGGGGGGGGGGGGGATCTGTGGTCCCTCACACTCTATTTGACGCTCCTATAGAGAAACCTTACATTAACAAGCGCATGTACACACACAGGTGCTCACATGGTGCTCTCAAATGTATGGGCTTGGGCACGTTAAACACTTGTCTTAAGGCTGTTGTTGCCACTAAATGCACTATGATTTATTATCGTGTGATTGTTCAGTTAAACAATGTTGATTTTATATTTCATCATCAGGTTGACACAGTGGTAGCTTGCTCCTGATGTATTGTTGTGTGTCCCATTTTTTTCTGTTCTTTCTCTTTCTGCAGGTCTAGAAGCAGACTCTTGTTCATTATTGTTTATTTTTGTGGACCCCCCACCCCTTCCCCCCTCTCTTCCCACCTTTTGTCTTTTCCTTTCTCTTTCACCTCTGACTCCGTGTCTGGTCGGAATTACAATGCATTCACAAACAATAACAATAAAGTTTTAAGTATCAGGCGTGACATTAAAAGCAGACGCTTTGATGCTCCACATGAGAGTAAATCTGTAAGGCTTGTTACCAGCATTCAGACATCAATTCTGTTTGCTTCACAGCCAGACAGGACACGGTTAAATTAAAACTGTCAGCAAAACAAAGTAAAAACTTTATTTCTCTTTAGGTTAGAAAAGAACAGATAACCAATGGAGATGGGAAAGAAACACAGAACGAACATGACATTGAATTTAAAGGATTTTACATGAATTATAAAGGTTCACATTTGTTGGAACTCTCAGCTGTGGATAGATCGATCGATCGATAGATAGATCGATAGATAGATAGATAGATAGATAGATAGATAGATAGATAG